GAAGTCATTGCTCAGAAGAGCTGTCTGCAGGCCTTCTGCACGGATACACTGTACTGCTTCCGCCATTATGGGGAGCTGTTTTGTCATCTCATTCCTGATTAAGTCCGAGAGAAAAGAGTCCACTGGAACACAGACATTTGCCTAAGAAACCAGAGAAACCCCAAGAATGATAATTAGCCACAAATGGTTTTTAAGAGTGGTTGGGTAGGCAGGTTGCCTGATTGTCTTATCTGCCTGTTCTACTTCCTTTGGCAGCAGAAGGCAGTCAGTGAATCGCCCAGCTAAATTGCTTAGACCAAATAAACAAGAATCCTCATTTTACTAATTCTATAGAATTAGCAGCAGAGATGAAGGGCTGATTTTGGGAGAGGAATGCACCAGGACTGTGCCTGCCGTGGAATCAAGGCAGGCTAGAGATAAATACTGCTTTACCATTCAGCAGCAAGAAGGGAATCTGCATTTTAGACTGAGCTGTTTCAAAAGGATTTCATTCAAAGGAGGATTCTTGCACTGTGTTCCTGGAGCTGCGGTGGAGGGGCTTCTACTGATCTTAAGAGCCCTCCCTGGAGACCATGGTCTCCATCCATCGAGCATGTCCATGTATGAACTAACAGCAAAAGCCTTTCAGCTGGTCTCTGGCTCTGACTTCTCATCTTGGCTGATCCTAGAGGTGTCTTGAAATAAAAAATTTACAAAATACTCAGGAAGAGGCTCATGGAAGCGAAGGTAAATTCAGCCGAGATCCTGCCTCGGTACCAGAATGACGATGGCAGAGAAAAGTCTGCCCTGATCAGAAGCAAAGCTTCCTCGATGGTAAATCCAGACCCTTCCATCGAAGGATTTCTTTTAAAAGCTCCTCGTTCCTTACCAAACCACCACATCACAGTGGGATCCTGTTTCCCTGCCGCCAGGAAGCACAAAGAGAGGAGGGGGGAGATGGCTTACAATCTCAAAGCACCGCTGTCCCAATTCCTGCAAAAACTCCACAGTTGTCAGCTCTCCTCTTGTGTACTTCAGAGAGGGACTGTTTTCACCTCCAGAGAGCACAGCTTGCTGGATGGTGCCAGCTGGAATACAATTCCGGGCCTCCCAGTCTACATAGAGAAAAGTCAGAAAGCCAGGAAAGAGCACGTACGGCATCACCAGATCTGGGAAATTAGCTTGAAATCCCCCTGATAAATCAACCAGCCCTCATGAGAACCAGCGTGCTGGACTCGGGTAATTCACCCAGGCACAGAGAGAAGAAGTTTGGGTGTTCCCCAACCGAAGCACCTCAGCTCTGCGCTTGGTGTGGTACCCTCGGGGTGAAAACATGGAGTTCTAAGGACTGTACCAACGTTGGGTGGTATCAGCCGGCGTCACTAAGGGCGGTTTCATTACCAGGTGGGTTCAGGCCCTGACCTGGAGCTGCCAACGCAGCTGCCAGTTGCTGTCAGCTCTGGCACTTCTGGCGGCACAACGGGGAACCGTCATCGCCAGGTCTGGAGTATCTTACCAGAACCAGAGGCAGCTGACAGGGACATCCAAAATTTATTTTCCCTCCATGCGTAGAAATAACAGGAGCGAAAGAGAAATGAGAATACACACCCATGGCTGTCCTGTAAGGGGACGGGAGGAGCACCCCGCTTTCGGCAAAGATCACAGCTCTATAACGGCGCCATCCAGATCGCCTCCGCCGGATGAACCCCTGCGGGTGCTGCCCGATCCGGGCACAGAGCAGGTCAGGGGTGGCGGCCATGCTCCTCAGGGACATGCTGCGGAGAATTCGCAACTGGCCCATGCTGACGGAGGAGAGAGGCTGGGATGCAAGTACAGAATTACGATATTACAATATTCATTCGTGCGCACGAAGTGTCCCAGCCCATTCAGGGCACCCCGAATGTGGTTTCACACAGGGTCCTTACACCATGTAAGGTACAATATGACTTGACTCATCGCTAACAGGCACACTCCTGATTACTAATCACAGCAAAACTTGGCCAAGAGCCTGTATGTTTGCAACGTTGTTGTTGCTTGTCTGTCAATCCAGATGTTCATGAGGTCTCGCTGGAGGCACTTTATGATGCAAGACACTGCTGGGAGGGTTTCAAAGATGTGTTAGAGCGGCAATAGGATGCTGGTGTTGATTACCCAGGAGCATCCTTTGTCCTTCATGGATAGCTCTGCGCCATGAAGCAAAGCCCTTCTTTCCAGGACCGGGCTCTGTCTTTTAGTTTCTTTTGCTTAACCAAAGCCTCACATGGCCTTGAGCTGCAAGGTACCAGCATGGTGGGTGCGAGGGGAAAGGAAGAAAGTGGTTTTTATTTGGGTTTTTTTATTATTTTTGCGGGGG